TGGGGGTTTCCTGTTCTTGAAACCAAGTAGTTCTTAAGATAGGGCTTTAACCAATAAAGTATTTGTATATGGGACTTTGAATTTCTGATATCTTCTTAATGTCCTTTGAAATCTGAAGCTTGTTATGACCTGGAAGTATTTAGAATAATATATTTTCCATAGTGGATGTTTGAGCAAAGCCTCATTCCCAAACCAACTTCTCCTACATTCCCCGTCTTGGTGAATGTATCACCATCAACTATTTCCCTAATCCCTAAACCCTTTCCTCTACTGTATATTTTCAAACCAGCTACATGAATCTCTAGATTTACCTCATTCACATTTCTCAAATCTATCTTTTCCTCTCTATCCTCACTACTACTGACTTGGTTCACCATCTCTTGTCAGAACTACAATGTAGCTTCCTACTGTGTTTTTCCAAAAATGCTTTTGATGTTCTCTAATACGTTCTCCATGTTCCATAAATTTGACTGATCTGAAGCAATTCTGAACCCTTTTACAGTTGTTCACTGCTTCCTCATAGCCTTCAGCTTAAGCCCAGACTTCTGGCCATGTTACTTGAAGCCCTTCAGGAAACTGACCTCTGGCCTCACCGAAATCTCTTTTCTTCCTACCCAGTTCCCAGGTTTACTCAAATACTGGCAATTTCATCTAAGTGTTATGTGTGTCTTTCGTGGCCATTTGCCTGAAAAGTACTTTTTAAAATCTTTGCTTGGGTAATTTCTACTCAAAATTTTAAGACTTGGCCTGGGACACCTCCACCTCAGATTAATGTTCTGAGGAATGTTCAGATTAATGTCATGTTCCCGGAACATTGAATACAGGCTTTCCTCATTCTACTTGGTACTCTGTATCTTTTGTTTATACAAATGTTGTCCCACCATCTTGTGAGGAAGGAACATCTTTTATTTAGTTTTATATTTCTAATGCCTACTAAAATGTAAGCTCGATAAACCATGTGGAACAAACAAATGAATGAATGAGTCACCACCATCCTTATTACAAGAAAGCATCTTAAAAAAAAAAAAAAAAGTCATCATCCTTTTAATCTTTCTTTATAGGAAAAACAAAACTAAGTTGTATTATCAATCTTTCTTAAACACTGAATAAACACTGAATAAATGACTACATGAAAAGAATTTGGCCAGTTTCTATAATATTTTTTAAGAGACAGAGATCGAATTAATGTAATACACATAGTTTCCTTGTAAATTTTTTTTATATAAAAAACTCCATTCTTAATTTCTATAGGACAATGAACACAAACTATTTTTACCTCAGTCAATTGGATAGTTGTAGATTTCTTGGCAAGTTCACACATCTCATTTTAAAATATCCTCTTAGTTCCTATTGTTCTTCAAACAGCCACTCCTACTGCTTTCCATTTTCACATCACTTTTCAGCCCTCATTACCAAGTGCAGACCCCAAAGCTGCAGTTATTTTTCCCTTCACAGAACTACTTTGACTAGCCTCACTATTGTTACAAGACATGTGGTTCTTCCAGCATGTAACTTGCAATCACATTAAGTAACATTCTATCCTAATATTGCTGAATATTTCCATGGGTCAACTTGCATCCACCATAGTTCTTCCTTATGACTGAGCTGCCTTTTGATTTGGGTTGTGTTGGCAGTTAATAATATAATCATTTTGGAGAGCAGCCCCATCTATTGCATTACTTCCTGTAAAAGGGTCAATTTAATCCATCAGAACTGGAGATGAAACACATAAAAGAGTGTTAAATCAAATTAGGCCAAGTCCATTGAGAGAATCATGAAGAGCCCTTAAAAACTGACCAGTTATTTCTTCTGGAGAGGAGAATCAAAATTAGATCATAGAAAAGTGGCACCAGTCAGATAATGTGTTCCTTGGGAGATAAAGAAAATATATCCCACCGCAAAATTTATGTTATGCCACCCTCATTTTTTCCCATTGACTTTCACTACACTTTAGCTAAATTGAACTACTCATTCTTTCCCAACTATAACCTGAGTATTGTCATTTCTATGCTTTTTATATATGTGTGAGTCATGAATACCTTGTGTACAGTTGTTTTTTATGTCATAGTATTTTACTGTCATCCTTGTATTATATTTTTCAACTTGTGGTAAATACATGTAACAAAATCTTTGACATTTCAACAATCTTCACATGTGCAGCTCAGTGACATTAATTATATTCATAATCTATGCTTTTTTAAAATTCATATCTGTTCACTCTCCTTGGAAAACACCCACCAACATTCTACTTTTCTGAATCCTGCCATTTCTAAACTACAGTTTTGTATCTTGAACTTGACCTCAGGTGATTTCTTCGTGCTTCTATATGCCCTTTAATCTTCTTCACTTGCTTTATTTTAATCTTCTCCTCATTATCCTCTGTGCCAAGCTTGGGGCTTTGTATTTGTTGCTGTTGTTGTTGTCAGGTGCTGTTGAATCTATTTTCAGCTCATACCAGCCCTGTGTGATAGACTAAAACTGCCCCATAGGGTTTTCTAGGCTGTAATCTTTAAGGGGGTGGATCACCAGATCTTTCTTCTGAAGAGCCGCCAGGTGGGTTCAAACCACCAGCCTCTTTCAGTTAGCAGTAGTGTGCTTAACCATTGTGCCATCAGGGCTCCTTGCTTTGTATTTAATCCCGCACACACGCACAGACACCAAACTCATTGCCATTAAGTCCATTCTGACTCATGGTGACCCCATGTGTTACAAAGCAGAACTGCTCCATGGGGTTTTCTTGGCTGTAATCTTTATGGAAGCAGATTGCCAGCATTTCTTCCATGGTGCCACTGGGTGGGTTTGAACCACCAACTTTTTATTAGTAGCCTAACGCAAACCGTTTGTGCCACTCAGGGAGTTGGTGCTTAATAAATCATTATTGAGTAACTGGTGCAAAGACATATGGTTAATGCAGCCATGGAAAGAGAGCACCAAGAGAAATGCTTGATGAGGGACTATGGAGATGCATGGAGGCATGAAGGATGTTAGACAGAGATGGTAGTGTTTCTGCAACTGAGGCATGGAAAACAAGGTCAAAACAAGAAGCTAATGAGCTCAGGTGGCACAAGCGGTTTGCAATGGGCTGCTAACTTCCTGTTTGGAGGTTCAAACCCACCCAGAGGCTCTGTAGAAGAAAAGGCCAGGATATCCGCCTAGAAAACCCTATCGAGCAGTTCTACTCTGTAATACATGGAGTCACCATGGGTGAGGATTAACTTGACAGCAGCTAACAGCAGACAGTATCTACCCTCTCAACAACAAATAAAGTTAAAAACAAGAGGCTCCATCAGAAATGTCAGTGACTGGGCACATTCCTCCCTTTGGTGGGGACAAAAAAATGTGAGAAAAAGAGACACAGAGAGGTCCCAGAGTCCTACTCTATTCTGCCCTGTGTGGAATGGGGTTGTTCTGGGAAGAAAAAGAAGGTAACCTTGAGTCTCAAAGAAGATGAAGAAGCTTGTCAGGATGGAGAATTTTACATTTCCTGCATTGAACACACTGACAAAAGCTACTCAAATTTTTTCTGTAAAGAACATTTATTTTGGCTACTCCAAGGGAGACACTAGTATTTGGTAAAAATAATGTTAACCACAGTTTATTGCTGAGGGAAGTTTCATTTAGTAAGTCCACCTACTGCTTTGGTTACAACCTTGGACACTGGAGTTCAGGATTATTTTCCATATCTCAAAAATCCTAAAATAAATGATCCGTTTACCCATGACAGGTCTGTTCCAACTAATTACAGTGTCAGGTGTTCTTACTTTAGTCTAGTGTGCCATGTTATGCTAATTTAAAGTTGATTGGTAAACCATGAAATAAATTTTAAAATTCAATTTGCTTGGTAGATACCAGAAAATAAAATAACAATAAAACAACAAAACAAAACAAAAACCAATTGCCCTCATGGCAATCCCATATGTTGCAAAGAACTGCACTCCATAGGGTTTTCAAGACTATGACTTTTGGGAAGTAGATCAACAGGCCTTTGTTGTGAGGCAACTCTGAAGGGTTTGAACTACCAACCTTTTGATTAGTAGTCCAGCGCTTCACTGTTTAAACTACCCAGGGACACCTATTTGGTAGAAAATGTCTTTTAAATACGGGTTTTCCACACTATTGTGACAAAGACTTCAGGATATTTTCTCTCTTTTGTTCTGTGAAGAGTTGGAGGACTAAATTTCCCAGCTCTAAGGTATTCTGTATTCCTGTGTGTTGTTACTATTCAGACACATCTGACTTTCTCTTTTAACCCTTTCTCTCACTTCAGTTATCTTCTGAATGTTTAAGTAGCTAATTACATCAAATTACTTTCTTTTTAGGTACAAGTTGGGCAACAATTTTAGGCTTTCAAAATCTGCTAAAGTCACTAGTCTAAAGAGACTATTTCCTACTCTCTTGTTAAAATTTAAAACATTTCTGAATATAACACAGTATACAAAAGTAAGAAACAATTCGTAGTATGATATTTTCAACATTACATATATAAGAAAGCTATACTGCCATATTTATTGTTTCTTTTGATATTTTAATTCAAATGATAATGTAGGAAAGAACAATTCCAGGGAAAATTTGTCACACCTAATCCACAAAGCTAGCATGTCTGATCCTTCAGTCCTTGTTTACATGATTTTAAAGTTTTTAAGTACTGTTTTAATCATTGAATGCATGTCATTTTGTTTCTGGTGTTCTTTAACTAAAAACAATGTGTTGTCAAAATTATATACAGTATACAACAGTATAGCTACTGTGGTGTCTGTCCCTGATTCATGGCAACCCTATGCACAACAAAATGAAATGCTGCCCAGTCCTAAGCCATCCCCATGATTGGTTGCAGAGAGGACAATTGTGATCCATAGGGTTTTCATTGGCTGATTTTCAGAAGTACATCGCCAGGCCTTTTTCCCTATTCCTTGTTAGTCTGGAAGTTCCACTGAAACCTGTTGAGCATTATGGCAACACACAAGCCTCCACTGACAGATGGGTGGTGGCTTCTCATGAGGTGCACTGGCCAGGAATTGAACCTGGGTCTCCAGCATGGAAAGCAGGGATTCTACCACTGAACTACCAATGCCCCCCCACCAAAATAATAGTCTATCTAAAACAGAAGGGTAGAAATTCAATAGCATAATAATAAAACCTGGTATGTTGAGAATTGGGGAAGGAACCTGATAAGGAAAGAACATGAGAAGGGATGAACGAAGTTAATAATTACAATTTTTCTTCTGAGAACTAGATTTTTATTTTAAAAATAGTATTTGACATATATGTGACAATATAAATAGTATATATTTAAATAATAAGGCATAATAACACAATGAATGCCTGAAACATACCACCTAACTCAGGATCTTGAATTAATATCCATAATTTGCAGCTGCCTATGTGTTCCATTCTTGTCCCATCCCTTTGTCAAGCCCCCAAAGAAAATTATTCCCTTGCTTTGACTTTTATGTCAGAAGTTGAGGTACTAAGTAATGTAGCTTCAGGCATAAACCCAACACAGACTAGAAACCTTTCAAAATTCTAAAGAAAGAAAAATCAAAGAAAACATAAAATAACATAAATTTTTTAAATTCAAAGAAAATAACAAAGACACATTAGGAATATAAAAGCTATAATAGAATGAATAACTTTTTTTTTTTTTTTTTTAAATAGCAGAAGGAAGTGAACTCATCTATTGAAAGAAAAGCTCTCAGAATGGACTCACGGCAAATATCTAGCTATATTTTGTCTAAAAGAGACTTGGCGAAAATGAAGTGACTCAACAACTTGAGTCGACAACATTGCAAAAATGATGAATAAACGTTTTCCAGATAAATAAAAAGTGAAGACACTGAATACTCTAGAGGGTTACTCAAGGATGAGGGGTTTAGTACTCAGTCAAATTTTACAAACCAAACAGCATAGCTTAGATTAAAAAAAGAAAAAAAAAATCCTTAGAAATGAAGTGGAAAATGATAGAAGCTTAATAGTCATGGCAGATGAACTTGCTAGATCATGAAAAGAGAAAATGGAAGATATTAATTGTTCTGGTTACATAGTGCTGCTCTGACAAGAATATACCACAAATGGGATGGCTAGAAGAAACAGAAATTTATTCTCTTACAGTTCGGAGGCTTTAAGTCTGAGTTCAAAGTGCCAGGCTCTAGGGGCTGGGTGAAAGCCCCTCAACCTTGGGCTTCAGCTCTGCCTCCTGCTCCCGGCCCATTGAAGCTAAAGGCTTTTCTTCATTCAGCTGCTGGCTGCTGAAGCTGACAAGCCCAAGGTTGACAGGTGAAAAGGCACAGGTCCAATATTACCAAACCACAAGGCAGGCCATTAACTCAAGTCCATTGAAAGTCCCAAGGTCTTCAGAGCATGGCAGGCTGCTGAACGATGACACAGCTACATGCAGGGTTCAAGAATGCCATAAGCTAAAGACCGTTCCCAAGGCTTCTCCTCCTTATATATAGGAAGTAGACCACGTCTGCTACTCAACAGCTACTCAGCTGCTCATGGTAGATTCCACCATGGAGTTGATTACCAGTCTCATCATGGGGAATACTTACATCCAGCTGCCCGGCCACTCAACCAGGCCCAGCCAAGTTGACACACAAACTTAACTCCCACACTATTAATATAATCAATGATACTGATTTGAAAGGACATATTTCAAACCTTTTAGTTGCAAACAGAAAATACACATTCTTTTTTACCACTCATAAAATTTTAAAAAACATTGATCATATGTTAAATAATAACAATTAATAATATCCTTAGAGAAAACATAGTATGTTGTTGTCATGTGCCATTGAGTTGGTTCCAACTCATAGAGACCTTATATACAACAGAATGAAACAATGCCCAGTCTTGCACTATCCTTACAATCATTTCTATGTTTGAGCCTGCTGTTTGCAGCCACTGTGCCACTCCATCTCATTGAGGGCTTTCTCTTTTTCTCTGATCCTCTACTTTACCAATCATGATGTTCTTCTTCAGGGACTGATTCATACTGATAACATGTTCAAAGTATGTGAGATGAAGTCATGCAATCCTCATTTCTAAGAAGCATTCCAGGTGTACTTCTTCCAAGAAAGATTTATTTGTTCCTCTGGCAGTCCATGGTATATTTAATATTCTTTGCCAACACCATAATTCAAAGGGATCACCATAATTCAATGGTCTTCCTTACTCATTGTTCAGATTTCACATACATTTGAGTCAATTGAAAATACCATGGCTTGGGTCAAGCACCCCTTAGCCTTCAAGCACACCTTAGCCTTCAAAGTGACATCTTTGCTTTTTAACACTTTACAGAGATGTTTATTTTCTGACTGCTAATTCCATGGATACTGATTATGGATCCAAGAAAAATGAAATCCTTGACAACCCCAGTACTTTCTCTATCCTGGTGTTGTTTACCATTTGTAGCCTACACTGAATGCTTGTATAGTACAGACTACATATTTTTATTTTAATTCATTAAGATTAGAAATAAATAATAAAAGTAGAACTTTTATCCCTCATCACAAATTTAAACACTCTTTCTAAACTAACACTTGGATCAAAGAAGAAATAAAAATTGCAATTCCAAAAGAGTTAGAAAAGAATGAAAATGAAAATAAAACCAAAAAAAAAAAAAAACCCACTACCATTGACTCAGTTCCAATGCATAACAACCCCCATTGGGTTTCCAAGGCGGTAACTCTTTATGAAGTATATTGCCCCATCTTCCTTCTGTGGAGCACCTGGTTGGTTTGAACCACCAGCCTTCTAGTTAGCAGAAAAATGCCTTAGGCACTGCAGCACCAGAGCTCCTTGGCAACAAGAATACTGAATATCAAACCTATATGAATATAGCTAAAAGTATGTTGTTGTTGTTGTTGTTAGGTACCATCGAGTCAGCTCCAATTCATAATAACCCTATGTACAGTCAAACGAAACACTGCCTGGCCCTAGGCCATCCTTGCAATCCTTGCTATGTTTGCACCCATAATTGCAGTTACTGTATCAATCCATATCATTGAATTCTTTCCCCTTTTATGCTAGCCCTCTGCTTTACCAAGTACAATATCTTTCTCCAGGGCATGGTCCCTTCTGAAAACATGACCAAAGTAGGTCATGGCACATAGCAAATGGTTATGGAGGACTTAATCTGTAGCAGGTAATGTTTTATAACTAATCCGTAACGCGGATTAACTCTGAATCCTCATAAAAATCATATGATATAGGACTGCAATTATCCTCATTTCACAGATAGAGAAACTGGGCACAGAAGAGCTAAATAACTTGCCAAAGCTGCTACCTCTCTAGTAAGTGGCAGAACTGGGGTTTGAAACCTAGCAAGCTGGCTTGAGCCCATGCACTTAACCACCACACCGCACGGACTTTCTCTGATGATGACACATTTCAAGTAGAGGGAATCTGAGTCCAGACAAAGGCCCTATGGTAGAGGGCTCAATATTTCTGAGGAACTACCTCGGAACAAAAGAAGCAAGGTCAGAATGGTGTGTGGCCAGATCCTAAAGGTTCCTGAAGGTGGTCATCAGACTTTGGATTACTCTGAGTGAAAATAATGGCAGTGGAAGGTTGTGAGCAGAAAAGTAACATGATCCCTCCAAGGTTTTAAAGTTCCCTCTTATTGCTGTGTGGAGAATAATATTTATGGTGAGTGTATTAGTTTCTATTGGTGCTATAACAAATTACCACCGATGTAGTGTATTAAAATAATGCAAATTTATGATCTCACAGTTCTGTAGGCTAAAAGGCCAACATGAATCTTACTGGGCTAAGATCACTATGTTGGCAGGGCTGCATTGCTTTCTGACATCTCTAAGGGACAATTTATTTTCTTGCCTTTTCTAGCTTGGAATTGACTCAGTGGCAGTGGTTTTGGTTTTGGTTTAGAGGCTGCCCATAATCCTTGGCTCATAGCCCTGTTTCCCCACTACAAAGCCAGGGATAGTAGGTCAAGTCCTTCTTACATCACAGCACTCTGAACTCCTCTTCTGCCTCCTTCTTCCACATTTAAGGATCCAAATAATAAATTGGACCCATTCAAATCATCCAGAATACTCTCCCTTATTGCAAGGTCATTAACTTAATCACATCTGCAAAGACCTTTTTGCCATGCAAGGTAACATATTCACAGGTTCTGGGATTAGGTTGTGTTCATCCTTGGGAGCCATTAATCTGCTCACTACTGTGGGCCAGACTAGAAGCTGGGGGACCTGTCAGTAAGTTATTGCAGTGATGAAAGTGACTATTGCTGGAATAATTATCTTAGACATGTATTCTTGGATAATAGATATTTACACATATTACTTCATTTAAATCTTATAACAATGATGCCAGGTAGATCTTTCCATCATGTCTACTTTACAGATGAAGAAATTAAGAGTTGCATCATCTTAGCTTTATAGATGAAGGAATTAAGAGTTACAGCTTGCCCCAAACCTTGTAGTTCATATGCAACAAAGCTGGGCTTAGTACACAGGTCTGCTTCATTCTGTATCCCCATATCTTTTTTACTGTGCCACACAACTGCAATAATAGGAACAAGAGCAAAAGGTAATAATAATAAATGTTTAACCTGTTAGAATATAGGAGGAATGGGAGTTATGCATGTTGAGAAGCAGGAAAGGCTAAAACTCTTCACCAGTTAGTTGATTGTTAAATAGGGGTTTGAAGGATGAATTAAGGATCCCTCCAAAGAAATACTCCTGACTGCCTGCCCTGCCCCACCACCAGCCTACTTCACTTCCAGACTGTTCTGTCTTGTTGAAAGCCATTGCCTCCAGAGTCATTGCTCTTTGTGTTAATACTCTAATGCTAACCCACCACAAAAATAAAGCCTTCTGAATGGCAAGCTGGACACAAAGAATAGATGGAGAATGGATATATAAACATGTATCTTTCCTTGACCTATTTCGAACAACATATTTATTGGTTATTGCAATAGAAAACTTATTAAGGATTTTCTACCCCTATAGACTTTTCCATTTTTTTCTTTCTGCGTAGTCTGCCTCATTGCTCTCATTCACTGTTGTTTAATGTGTTCAGGCTTTAGACTATCATGCTGTCCCAATCAGA